CGCATGATATTCTTGACAATGACTGTAGAAAAGACTCTATCAGTTTGTTGGTCTCAAAAACACGATTTTCTCTGATTGGGAGTATATCACAGATCCACATGTTGCATAGCCATAGCTCTTTACTTTGTTACCAAAACAAAGAGATCATAAAATATAATTCTCACAAACAAAGGCCTAAGGAAAAAAAGGGAAGAAAGTAAAGAGAGAACTGAGAATAAATTTAAGCATTGTGGCCGATAGAAGTGTGACACCTCAAAGTTCACGTCCTCTAGCAATTATGGTCATGTGAGACTTATAAAAAAAAAGTTATCTTTCTAAAAACTATACTGGGGGATGTGTTTGTGATGTGACAAGTATTTTTGAAGAGAAAGTGCAAGTGCGTTACAACTTACTACACAATATGTGAATTTGGTTTGAGGATAACTATTACTTCTCATAATATCATCGGTGATGTGTCATATGAATGTGACAACGAGTGATGTGTTCGCAAGCATGGACATGGATCACCTCAATGACTCAGCAAAGGTACAACGAGGAAGCATTCATCCAGATGTGATAATGAACATAGTTGTGACTAGCTAAGTTTAAGTCGCAGTTGCGCCAAAGACCTACTTCAGACCAGTGCATGCAATTCAGCTATCGAAAACATGCATAGGAGCATTTTGGTGACTTGTCTGTATTTCCGATCCAAGGGTTAGTGACGAAGATGAACCTTCGCTACGTCCTTAGATCCTTTGAGGGTCATGACAAGACAGGGTATCATATATAGTGTCTCATTATGTCGTCCTGAAGCTTTCCACCAATAGTATTCGTATTCGGCCTTATGGTGTTTGAGATGAGTTCGCAAGAAGACACATGCTCAAGCGTTTTCGACAAGTAATGGTAATGGTTTTCGACAAGTACATTTAATGAGTTGCATACATTATCAACAGCACATCGTGTGAAAACAATATAATCCTAGTCATACTCGATTCACCTGTAAGATATGGACATCAACATGTAGCAAGAGATACACTTCTCTTCTTTCCTTTTTCGACGGTAAAAACCAAAACTTCACATGTGGTACAAGAGCGGCAACCTCTAGTACAGAGCAGCCGATTGTCTTCCCTCAGTCGGCTCACGGGTGAAGAGCGCATCCCCGTCCTAAGGTCGGGGACGTCAAAGGGCTAGAATTGGAAGACCTAGAGTTGGTCGCGGCAATACCAGATCAAGCATCAGGACGGTGTCACCAGTCTGTGCTCGAAACTGGTATACTAAGCTGAATACTGTATAACATTTGGTAGCCCCGGCTCTCGTATTCGAAGGACAAGATCCCCACTACTGTGAGGTACTTTCCCTCTAATTCCAAATTTACCTTGCTCCGGTGGACAATGAGAAAAACTTATGATGCTATCCTTTATGGCCACCCATGTGTAGTGTCGATCTGGTCGATCTGGCAGTTACCTGCGTTTGCGTGAAGTAGGTTCGGTTTTGTCCAATACAAAGAATGCAACTGGTTTCTTCCATGCAAAATACTACCATGTTGTCCATACGTGCAAGTCTCTTGGTATCACCTTGACTAACCGTGCATGTTACATTTTGGGGTCTCAAGTTCCAACCTTAGGGAAGCCTGGGTTTGGAATATTGTCCTGACCAAAAACAATATCAGTTGAGCTCCAGAACCAGTCCAAAAGTCGGAAACTGGAATATCCTCCTACCAAACCATTCTATTAATTGAGTCGAGAGCAATTCGAACATGTGAAAAGCATCATTGCTTCTAATTAAGGTACATCTTCGGATATCAAGGTGGTAGCTTTGGAACCGTCATGAGTTGGAGGCCACCAATCTGTACATGATCACCATGCGAGTGTGGTTTCGTTTTTGGCTCTCCTTGTGGCCCACAGTTAGTCCCCTAGAGATCTAAGGATGCTATCCAAGTTGAGTTTTCTACTCTCACATCTTGAAGGTGGTGATTTAGCCTATTGTGCCAATATCACTCTCACTATCTTCGCATTCGGGATCTAAGGTGGGACGAGTTTGAGTTGTCTTGCAGTTGTTTCGTGAGGTTTAACATACCTTCAGAAGTTTGCAGAATTCGATAAGGTGACGATAGAGTTCCTTTAGTAAGTGTTGTCTTATTCCATGGTTTTGTAGTATGAGAGTCTTGCATGATTCGGTCGCTTTTGGTGTGCTTGTTATCCACTTTTCATGTTTAGTTCTCATATGATATTTTAATTGCGACTTGGAACTTTTGGCCGAGGTCATATTCAGTGTAACAAATTTAGACTGAGGAAAAATGTAAACTTAATTTGGCGTCCGAAGTTCTAACTGGACTTTTGAGAACGGTCATGTTCTTCAACAAACTAAATGAACCTCAACCAAAAGAGTTGTGTCTCTTCGTTATAATATGTAACGCTTAATATCTTATTCTCCTCTTACATCATTTATAATAAGATAATTGGATACGCTGAATATGCTCAATTTCAAGGAAAAAATACATATATATTACAATATTTTATCTTTAAAACAGTATAGTTTTAAGGTATAATTTCCAAATTCTTTATAATGTATTTGCATCAAACTATGAAAATGAAGCAAAATAAATTGAAATTATATTTAATCAATCAATGGATCATCAGGTGAATCTCTAGTTTTTTGTGGAAAATAATAATAAATTCTTCAACAAATATTTTGCACAAATATTTTTACATAAGCATATAATGATTAATTTTAATGAAAAAAGTATTTTTCGTTGATCAAATCCTTTGAATTTATTCTCTCAACCTTGATATTAGAGAGGAAAAAAACAAAAAATCAGAGTAGTTCATGAAGCTGCACATAAAGATTAAAAATTATAATTATAATAAAATAATAAAAATTATATGATTGACTTAAAAGTATACTAAGAAGTAATTGAGGACATTATGTCAATCTCCTTCTGCTTACATTTAATGAATATCCATATGTAAAAGCAGGATAAGAAAGAAAAGTTCTGAACTGTTCTAAAGCTTAAAATTGAGAAATAAATTCGATGGTTGTTTGCTTATAATTTCATGAACAATATTTTTAAATAAGATTTTAAAACATCAATCGTCCAACTCAGTAGGGATTGAGAACGTGACAATATGTATAATAGTCACATATTTTTAACTTAAAAATGAATAAAGATATAAAAATAAAAATAAATGTCATAATCTAATAAAAAGATATATTGTTTATGTTTCATCTTATAGATCATTATAGCCAGTTCAATTTAATAGATATCCAGCCTTCATAATTTTTTCTTTGATGATATAAAGACGATGAAGATATATGAAATATGATCATGATAAAACCAAAAATGAAATTTGAACTTAATCTTAGACTACGTTCAGTAAACACATAATCATATTTGATTAGATAATACGACCCTGTATCTTATTGAAGAGACACAATGTTTATACATTTGTTTTGAAACTCTGAGTGCACGGAACAAGATTTCTTCTGGTGGCACGAAACTCGCACTCCTGTGGTTGGATTCAAGTGAAATTTGGTTTGTAATTATAAAAGCTTCTGCAACCCAGTCAATCCTCCATGTTTGAATGATCCGTAAAAATTTAATCGATAAAAATTGTTGACATAAACTGCACATGAAAAAGCGTGAAAATGTACTTGGCTGTGTGCCTAGCAACAGCAACTGAACTTGATACATCTTTGTGCTCCGTTCCACCTCGTTAGGACGATTCACAAAGTCTTTCAGACCAGGGTCCAAACTTGGTCATACGATCTATCCATGGCTCATTTGACTAGACTCTCGAAATCGCAGATTTTGATTTCAATGCGCATGAGAACAGTAATTTTGTTTCACAGGTCCAACTTCTCGTATTTTCAATGTCTTGTTTCTTCAGAAAATCCCCGGTTGTTTCCAGGATATGCGAAGGAGTTCTGCAGTAACAAAGTATGGATGGAAGCTGCCGATAAGACAAAAGGACACGGCTGAAAACCGGATAGATTGTTGCATGTGAGTGCACCTGCAGTCGGGAGGGACGGAGGGTCGAGGAAACCTGACACGCAGGGAACGTGCTAGAACAAGTCTTGCGGACCACGGGGTCCTGCGTTCCGAGACATCTCCGAGGGTAAATTAGGAGAGAAAGTCTAACTGATGTACAGACTGCCTGTAAGGGTGTGACTGGTTCCCCGGGACCTCAGAAGCTTCGGATTCGCGGAAACAGGACGAAGTGAGCCCAGCGGAGGAAGGAGGCGTCCCCCTATTTTAGCGCATTTGACCAGATCTCCGCGCTCACTGAATGCAGATCGTTGAATATCACAAACAGCCGTCACGAAGGTGGGCTCTCCTTTGGATCCCAGAACTTTTTCGTGCATCCGGATAATAAAAAAAGCTCGGAGTCCGTTGCATGATCCGTAGAATAAGCAAAAATCTCGGACATGGCGGTCTCCGATAGCGGGATTAGTTAAGTGGGCTCGGGCCTGCGGGACAGAGAGACCTTTACCCGACGGTCGCGCCCCGGAGTGCGTTCGGAATGGGGAAGGCGTAGGGTCGTCGTCGGATGCGAGATCTAACGGCCGAAGGGGTGCGCGTCGACGTAAAAATGAATATGTTTTTGTTTGAAAAATAAGCCGGAAAACTCTAAATATGTTATCAGATGGCAAGATCCAACGGTCGACGCGAGGGGTATCGACGTAAGAAGTGCTAAAAACTGACTTTTAAAATCGGAACAGTATGTATATCATGATCGATCGGACGGCGCTGGGAGATGGGCGAGCATCGAGTGGTTCGAACCGATCAGCCGTTGGAGGCGTAGACGTAGGTGGTAAGTTGTGTCGGGAGAAGCAGGCATGGTAATGTTAGGTGGCTTGCGCAGCACTCTCTGGATGATCATAAGCGATGGCATGTGCATGGTCATGTGCGCGGGGTGGATGGATGGCATGCTGATGCGGATGCGTCAGGTCCGAGACCGGGGAGAGGAGGGAGGAGCGGGGCTATAAGGAGCAGAGCGCCATGTAAAACTTCCTCTCGCACCTCCCCAATCTTTCGAAGAAAATATTTCCACTTCTCTTCTTCATTCTCCTTCTTTGGGCTGAGAGAGAGAGAGAGAGAGAGAAACAACGAGAGAGCAGCACTCTTGCATTGAGATTTTACAGAAGGAATTGCGATTGAGTCGTGGTTATTGCAACGCGAGACGATTGTGGTGTGGAGGAAGGAAGGATTTGCTGAGGTTTGTTGGATGATCATATTTGTCGATTCGCAGCAGCGTGGATCGAAGCACTGACTGTTGAGGAGAGGAGCGAAGGGCACTTTTGAGGGGAAAGTGAATGTGCTCTTAAAGGTTGAGCGGACGAAAATTTGAGGCCTACAAGTTCCCAATTGTAGTGGCCCGTGGTGCAATTCGAAGTCCCGATTGGTGTCTAGTTGTGGTGTGGGTTCCTGCAAGGTAGAAAAGGTTTGACAGAAAAGAGAGTGTGTGGATGTTATTCCATTCCGCTCGTCACGGTGAAGCTGACGGGGATCTCTTAGGAGGACGGTGTGAGAGCTCTTTCTAATACGTCTTCGGGGCGAAGCGTGTCAGGGAAGTGTGACAAAAGTGGGACATTGGGAACGGCGAACGAGAGAAGAGTGCGGTCTTTCTTCTTCTTCTTCTTCCGACAGCTTTTCTTTTCTGGAACTCGAAGGGACGCATTCATGCAAGCGATCGTATGATCGTTGTGGTCGCGAATTGCAGTGCTTCTAAGCGCCAGGGATTGCCGAGTTTGTAATGACTGCTTCGATGTGAGCGTAGCAACTCCACGGCTGGGGAGGCCCGTCAATTGTCTGCTGCTGGCTTATCTCCTCTTGTACAGTGTACAGCCTGGGCTGCTTTGTGCACTTCCTAACCGTAGTTATCTGTAGGTAGGGACCCAAGAGGTTGTCTCGGGGCCTCGAGTGGATTGAGCCTTGATGCAGTTAGCCGTAATGTCGTCGTTCATGTTGTAGGAGCGTCGTCGTTCTGAGCCGTGATTCAGACTTTGTTCGCCAAACAAGGTTTGAGCTTGCGCTCGGAGCTTTACTTCGGAACTCAACACAATGGCGGCTTCAGGACTCGTGTGCAATCCTGCGGATGTGGAATCCTACACACCTCATGTGTACACTTCGCCTGTCTTCTCGGGAGGATTGCACAAACGCACGTCTTCTGCGGAGGGGGACATACAAATCTATTTGGCCACCCTGGGGAACAACAGCAGCGTAATTCCTATGAGAGTTCTAAGCTCGGACACCATCGCCTCTGTCAAAATGCGAATTCAGAAATGCAAAGGTTTCTTCACGAACCAACAGAGGCTGGTGTACGGGGGTCGTGAGCTAGTCCGTGACGATGTGCTGATCAAGGATTACGGTGTTTGCAATGGCGAAGTGGTACATCTTGTATTACGCCTCCTTGATCTTGTAGACATCAAGGTTAAAACTGTTTCTGGCAAGGAGTATGTTTTCAAAGTTTGGCGAAACAACCGGGTGAGAGATCTCAAGCAACGTATTTCAGAGAGAGAAGGAGGCTTGGCCCTTGATCATCAGCAATTGGTTTTCAAGGGCAAACGATTAGAAGACCATGAGCGAATTGAAGGTCTCCACTCAGAGGAAGATGTGGTCATTCATCTAGTGGTAAGGCGAACGGCCAAGGTTCGGTCTAAATCTGTAGGAGCTGATATAGAGCTTTCAGTTACTGCTTCAGAGCTAGAGTCGGTCATTGACAAATTTTCCCCTTACCGAGTCAATGAGCCTACTCTTGCTTCTTCATTTGATTGTGTTAAGAAGACGCCGTGCCTACCCACACCTGTCTATGGAGTAGGAGAACCTGTGCATTCTAAAGAGCAGATCTGGAATGGGGTGGTCAATGACTATTTCGTTCTAGAGCCTGCGAAAGATTTTGTCATATCTGAAACCCCTGACAGCCTTCTCGATGTACTAAGGGGTGCCAGAGCCGGTCTACAAGAAGGACATGCCCCCGTCCTGTCATCGGAGGGGTCGGGAGGCACTTACTTCATGAAGGATGCAGCTAGTAATAACGTCGGGGTGTTCAAGCCAAGTGATGAGGAGCCGATGGCCATCAACAACCCTCGAGCAGGAGCACCACATTCCGGAAGCCTCGAGGGTTTGAAAAGTGGTACTCGCGTGGGTGAGGGTGCAGTGCGGGAGGTGGCAGCATACATTCTGGATCATCCCGCAAGCGGAGTGAGGGATACTACAACTCGGAACCAGGAAGGATTTGCAAGTGTGCCCCCTACAATGATGGTTCGCGCCTCACACAAGGCTTTCAACTACTCTTCTGAAGGTGCCAAGTCAAGTAAAGTTGGGTCTTTGCAGCAGTTTGTAAACGCTCACAGCAATTGCGAAGACATGGGCCCAGCCAAGTTTCCTGTCGACGAGGTCCATAAAATCAGCGTTCTTGACATGAGGCTTGCCAACACGGATCGCAACGGTGGTAACATTTTGGTTCGCAAGGAGGGGGATGGTTCTTTCAAGCTGGTGCCCATTGATCATGGTTATTGCATGCCTGACAAGGTGAGTTCACCTTTCATCGCTGCGCCGGTATCAAGATTGCACACGTAAGGTGGACGTGCTTGTTGATAGTTTCTGTAGCATTTTGGGTTTCGCAACCAAGTCACTGCGGTTAGAGAACAGCAAGGAACTATGACTTCCCAGTTTTGTGAGTGTTTCATCTGCATATTGAAACTCTACAATCAATTCAATTGGTCCGCTGCTTAACTGATCATCGGTCGACTGGTTTTGTCATGTCTCAGTTTGAGGATTGTACTTTCGAGTGGCTCTATTGGCCTCAGGCCCGCTGCCCGTTCAGCCAAGCTACCCTTGAGTACATCGACAAGCTTGATGCAGACTGGGACATCTCTATTTTGGCTGCACACGGATGGGTTCTGCGTCCCGAGTGTGCCCGCGTCTTGCGAGTTGCCACCATGCTATTGAAGAAAGGCGCAGCATTTGGACTCACTCCGTTCGAGATCGGATCGATGATGAGCCGAGAGAATTTCGATGTAAAGTCGGCGATTGAGATCATGCTGGAGGAAGCCGAAGCGGAGTTCTCCGATTCTGCTGATACCAGCGAGAATGTGTTCATGGACATTCTGTCAGAGATCATGAACAAACATTTGGAGTGGACTGATGCTAAGTTAATGTAATCTATGTAAGTCGTATATATGTACAGGTCAGGAAGGTGTAGCTAGGCCAAAATTTGTGAAAACATACAACATCACACAACACTGTGAAGGATACTTTTTTTGATGCGTACCTTGTCTAGATCCTTGAACTCTATGGCAAGACTCGTAATACACACTCATTATGTGACTACTGTGGCGAGGCAGTCGAGTCACCACATACCACTAATGCAATGGTCCATTGTAGCAAGTGAAACTCTTTAGTTTCATAACCGAACTCAACTTCACAACAGTAACTGTACTTTCCCTCCACTTTAAAGCTTTCCTTTTCTTTCTCTTCTATGAGAGAGAGAGAAAGACGGGAAAGAGTTCCCACATGTGGAGAGGATTTTCAAGTTGCTCTGTTGCTTTCTGGTCAGGTCAGGCTGAGGCTCCTTCTCATATGTACAATTCGAGGCTTGTCACTATAGGCTTTACTAGACTACTCCTAAAGGTCAGTACATGATATTTCCGGAGCTTAGCAGTTATTTGTCACCCAGGTACAGTATATATTTCTAGCAACAAAATTTCTGTGGGTTATATATCCTGTACGTATGAGATCTGATTCTCACAGGACAGACTAAATTCTCAATTTGAAATCGAAAGCACTTAGAGCGACCGTTCACGCTAGAAGGTCTTTGGCTAACGAGCCCAGGTTAATCTGGAACTATTCAGTTTCGGACGTTTGCCTTAAGCCTTCAAGCTATGGGAAGTGGGTAATCATTTTTTCGGGACTGTTTGTCTTTTATAAGCACAGACCCTTTCAACTCTCAAGCGTCGTGTATCTTCTCGATATGCAATTTGTTCTCTTCTCGCTTGCGAACCTTTGCATTTGTCTATCGCACCTGTTGCAAACCTGGAAGTCGTGTTGGACCTGGTGAAGTCGCAGAAAGGATATTGAGTTTCAACCAAGGAGGAAACTGCGACCGTGCTTATAATGGTGGTTCATATTGAGTATGCGCAGTAGAGCATTAATGTCTGAAATTTGCCAACTGGATACATTTGTATAATGTGACATTTGCGAGTAGGAGTGGGCATTATCCGAGAGTTGAGAGATGCTAGAAAAGCTACAGCGTTCTAGAAGAGTACGTTAGGCTTGCAGTCGTTACGGCAATGGCAGGCTAGAGCACGTCACAACGATGAGCGATGGCCGGTTATTTGTCCGTTCCGAATCGAAACAGAATTTCTGTCTCGACTTGTTCGAACGAGAAGTCTCTTGTACCTAGAATATTCCATGTATGGACGAGTACTGGAGTGTATACCCATCGTCTGAATGTAAACCATCGGCTGGATTTCACTCTTGAGATATCGTCCGCGTGGGAAAGAATACACCTAATTTGGAAAGCACACTGAATAGCAAGCTGAACATATCTGACGAGAGCATGTTAAGGGTGAAAGGCGGACGACGACTAGATAGTAGAAAGATCCTCAAGTAATCCGGACAATCAACTTATTGCATACGGTGAGTAAAGTAACTCAAACAGCTACGAAGCTGAATTTGCCAGTGAGCTTTTGTCTTAAAAAAGCTAGCTGACTATACGTGAACAGATTTAGAATATAGAACAGGAAAGAACGTTTGGCGGTGTTCTTCAAGGTGACAACGTCGATACCTGCAGCTCACGGATGTCGCGGTCGGGCAGGAGATTATGGCCTTCTTTCCTCTCCTGTAAAATGCATGAGAAAGGTGGAGGACAATTCTCTACATATCGGGGCATCAGAAGATCCCACACTAGCTTCCAGCTATTGTTGGTCCTACCAGAACTTTGGGAAATGTCTCGCTGATCGAGAACCACTTCACTGACCGATGTGCATGCTGAACCCATCCTTTTGGTTGTTTGCTTTCTACTTCATCGCACGACAATGAGGAAGATACGGAGCTCAATGGGGTCACTGAAGCGGAGGATGACATGGGACTCAGACTGCATGTTGCGAGCTGCGAACTTTGAACTTTCGAACGAGGAATGAACAAGCATGCCGGCGCAGAATCGTCACCGTGGATTATTGTTTACAACCTTCTGTGGAAGAGCATGGATCGGGGGCTCGATGAGTCAAGTGGCAACTCAAGGCCCCTGTAGAAGTTGTTCGTTCTTGAAAAGAGAAAGATTTGAGAAAACCCAGTGGATTACAATATGGCCCGCTCCTTCGACCGCATTGTAGCTGCCGCAAAGGCTGGTAACCGATCGACCGAACCTTCGCGAAACGGATGCATGTTGCAGGAAGATGTGGAAGTCTATGACAGTTGTGAAGACTAATTTGCTATGCTGACTGGTCGCGCCAGTTCAGGTTGAGGGCTCATTCCCGTGGTAATTCAGCAGTGCCCGCTTTAAACTCGAGAAACTGGATTCCCGCCCCTCGCGTCGTGCTCGGGGCTTGTCACCCTTGGAGGAGCAATACTAGCAACCTTGAAAGTTGTTGCGACGCAGTATATAGGAACGACGACAGCAATGCAAAGACTGGCTCCCGATACAATCTGGCACGATCGGCCGGTGATCTCTCAGGGGACGAGAAACGAGTTTCCTGGCGGGCAAGTGGCGCTGTGGCAACGCGCAAGTCGTCTTGGTCTGATCGTATCCGCGGACTCCGTAGCATACTGGACGAGGGTAGCCCGCCGCGATGCCGGACAGAACTTCTCAGACTCCGCTAACTTTGGCAAGACCCGGAGACCTTCGGGAAGTAGATCATCATCGTTGACTCGGCTGTGCAGTATGCTCTGCGCTGTTCGCGACCGGCGACGAGCCTGCTCCACCCTGTGCTGACTGTATGCCCGGCCCGGCCCACGTGGAACCCACCCTTGACTCCTGCCCCCCTGTATTGGGTGAACCAACTATGGGGTCATCGCGGTGAGTTGCCCGGCGATGAACCATCACATTGTGGGCACGTTGCAGCAGGACGGACGACGTCGGGTACACGACGTATGGAACCACCGGTCTCGCAGCCGTGCTCACGTGATGACACGCCGAGTTGGAGGCAATTGCGCCTCGACTACGGTCGCTTCGATGTCAGCCTTTGCCCTCCATGGAGGATGCTTCTGCAGATGTGACGACGAATCGCGCGCAGAGGAAGCTCCGATGATTCTGAAAGGAAGGACGACGGAAGTTGCCGTGCTTGGTTTGTGTGGTTGCAGTTTCGTTGTCCGACGCGAGCTCGTTCTGTAGTCGATGGATTCCATCGGACGAGGACCGAGTCGCACGACGAGCGAAGCTTTGGACCAGGTGAGAAGTGAAGAACTGCTGATGGATTCCTGCGCTCGGATGCACGAGGCCCACAGTCTTCCGTCTTGTCCCGGGTGGAGAATCCGGGACAGCTCCCGCCTCTTTACATCCCTCGGGACCATGCACCTGCGAGGGACAGGCCTCGCAGATTTCGCGAATGTCTTCGGGGCCCAAGACGATTCCATGTTTGTGGAACTTAATAATTCGGACTCCACAACGTGCTATCGGAGTTTGTCGACCTCGACTAAAGCCCTGGAAACTTGAGGGATTAAATCTCAGTATTAATCTCTTCGGAGGGAGTGGTTAAGATCTATATCATGGTTAATTCCGATGATTTTTGAGATAAGATTCCCATGCAAAAGTTTGTTTCGTAGCTTCTCACATCCGGTCCATACTAAGCTAACATTAGCTTTTCGCTTATGATCACAGGGATATTTAGCACGGTGCTTGTTTCTTCTACGTCGATGATAATAGCATTGTCATGGGGGAGTGCTAGATACAGGAAGGTTATCGCAATTTTTTCATATGAAGAGGGCTTGTCACCTGGGGTTCGAAATTGTGGTTTCTCACTCAAAGGCCTCCGGATCTTCAAAATTCCTCATCCCAATTTGTTATGTGTATACAAGTTGGATGTATTGAATGATATGAATATCTTCTAAGAGTATAAATGTTTGACATAGCACACGATAGGACTAGTATGTAAGGCCAGATAATATTTTGTATTTCACTCTTTTTAGATGGTTACTACTCACAATGCATACTACAATGTGTATCAATTGGACACAATGTAGTATGTAGACAAGAGAAGTCAAGCCTTTTATTATTCGACTATCATGCTTCATCTTGTATGCAAGAGTATCAAGCTCTCACAATGTACGACATAATCTCTTTTTGATAATCACAATGCTTGGTATTCATGATTGTCAACAAATTCAAAATTGAATGCTCCATTCTTAAGATGATTCAACAACTTCAAGCAGTCTATTGTCTGTGAACAACCTTGTTCTATACTTATACTATTTTCAAGTATGTCTTTCAAGTTGATAAACAAATCTACTTCAAAATTTTAATTCTTACATATCTTCATATCCTATTCATTGCTTATATAGAATCCAGAATATTAAAAAGAAATAAAGTACTGGATAAAGAGAAAAATAATTTTGTCAATAATTTTGAGCAGATTAGTATGTTATTAAAAGTAAACAATATAAATTTTGTTGTCACTTAAGCAATCTAATAAGTTTTATTTTTCAGATTTTTTGAAATATATACATATATGTTCAAAGAGAGGAAACATTATTTATTTTTTGTTTGATTTATGATCAATTGATTATGTTAGACGATTTTGTTTTATCAATATGTAAACTTATCATTATAAAATTACTATTAAATATCATTAGAATTAAAACTATGTTCAAAACTATCTCAAGATTCTTCATACGCATCAAAAACCATAATACTATTTACAATCAAGAAAGTATGACTTGATTTAATCTATTGTTTTACATAGTTAATAATTGCTTTCTAGTTTAATTTTTAAATGAAACAAAATTTACATGTTTTTTTTGAATTTGATCATTAAATACAGTTTGCTCTTACACACTTGAGGATGTGAATATTTAATAATATTTCAGATTAAATGTATATCATGTTTTGCATGTAATCGCATATAATTATTGCTTAAACAAAAAGTCAAATAAACATTTCAATTGAATATCATCATGTAATCTCATTAGTACAGTGTATGTGATTATAATTTTTTGTATATCAATATTTTTCTACATTATATTTTTCTATCCAACATGGTAAAATATTTAGCTTCATCATAGAATGTAAGTGCAAACCAACATATCAAAAGATTAAATTTTTTAATGGAAAAATATATGTTTTGATCATACATTATCAAAAAATGTATAGATTTTTGTTCTTTGTTTTTTTAGAGTTGAGCTCAACCTTTAGCATGAAGTATCTAGGTCCAGTCAAGAAGATTTTTGGTGTGGAAGTAGTTTTGGATCAAAAAGCTACAAGCTTTGATTATCTCAAAAAAAAGTATGCAGACTAGATGCTTGTCCAGTTCAACATGATAAAAGCAAAGCATGTGAATACTTTGTTGATTGCTCGTTTTTTACTTTTAGCTGCGAAATGTACTATAGATGCGGTTGAAAAAGTCTTAACGTTTTCTATTTCCTATGAGAGTGCACTTGATAATCTCATGTATTTGATGGTGTGCACAAGAATGGATATAGGTTTTGTTGCAGTTAAGGTGAGCAGGTACATGTCAAATCTAGACAAGGTGCGTTGAGAAGTAATGAAGTGGAAACTTAGAGATCTTTAGTATTCTACACGACACGATTTATTGTTTGATGCCAAAGTAATGAATGTCAAGTCACTTGTAGAATATGTGGATTGTGATCATGGGGAGACTTGGACAAGAGAAAATCAATGACTAGGTATGTTTTCACTCTTACAGATGGTTGCATTAGTTGGAGATCTACTCTTCATAAGTGCATCTTGTTGTCATCCACAGAAGCTCAATACGTTGCAGTAGGAGAGTCAACGAAGGAAGCAATTTGATTGAACAAGCTTATCACAATGAGATGAGATTGCCTTAGCAGGATGTCAATCTTCATTGTGATAGTCAAAGTGCGCTTCACCTTACTGAAAATCAGGTGATGGTAGTAGGATGAAGCTCACTGACATCATGTATCACTTTATCAGGCAGGATGTGTGTAACCATCTTTAGTTAGTTAGAACTAAAGTAAAGATACTCAAGGTGAAATAATAATTACTATAGTGTGCACTAGTCATAGCTGCCACGTCAACGATCCTCGTGCTTGATAAGTAGAGAATAAGTGTGTTAGTTGATATTGTCACGTGAACGATCCTTGTGCTTGTTAGAGGTTTGGATTGAATGTGTTAGTTAAGAGCTTCACGTAATCCATTCATTAGGAGTGAAATGGATGATAAAGATGAAATCTTTTCTCCTTGTACATGTTGGTAAGAGCTATATAAGAAAGAGTAGAATCATAGTTGGTATCTCTTATCTTCTGAGTTTATGTTTTCATTTGTTAGTGAGATTCTTTCTAAATCCTAGTGTTACACTATGTGTGATAGCGCATTTAAGCTCATCAAGGTTGATGAAGAGCTTAACTTGGTTGATGGCTTTATCAAGGTGATTCCTTAAGTTTTCAACACATTGTGCAACTTTGAAGCACTGAGTTAGATTACATGATAGTTTCTATGTAAGTAGTTTCTCTCTAACATGTTGTGAGTTAAGCGGTAGCTTAGTTCTAATTAATCCTCGTTCATAGGGAAAAAGCTATGGTTTAGTTTTGCTTTTGAAAACTTTTCGCTGAAACTAAGTATGGATCATAGAAACAATCTCCTCCAAGACTTGAGTTAAGGGGAGGTTAATCCGTGTAATGTTAAGCATAGTTAGTTTAACCCTAATTAGAGTATGGTATACTTGATCTGAGTACAAGCACGTTTTTGTTTCAGTCTCACATGTATATCGCAGAGTAGAGATAGTGGAGGGTTTGGCTATAGAGGCTTGATATACATTCTCGCTTTAGTGAAACTTTTTATTTCAAATGTGGAGATAGCCTCATGTGGAGGTGAACATCGGAACTTGTTTGAAAATTATAGCATAACTCCAACAATAAATTGGTGTAAAATCAGTTTTATTTCTCTAGAGACTAATCTAAACTACAAAGTGAAGGAAATGAATACAATTTTAATTTTCAATTAACTATTTGATATTAAAATAGTGAATTTAAATTATGATTTGTTTAATCTAAAAAGTCATAAATTTTTATGTACAATAAATGCATTTGAAAGTTTATCATAAGGTTGTTTAATCGATTTACAAAGAGCATAATCAATATAGGTCATGAGCTAACAAAATATGAAGACAGCCAGAATATTTTTATTATTTATTTATAAAATATATAATCATAATTAGCACCATAAATTTGAAAGCATAGCCAAATTTTACACAAATCATTTCATACATGAAACACTTATTTAAATTTTCTTATATTAATTATGAGGATATGGATCTATGAACGAATCAAGTATCTAGCATTTTCACGAGAAAAGAGCTAACATGTATGAGTAAGCCAATATCACCACTAGAGCAATAGCTTCAGTAGAACACCTTTGAACTATTTTTACATGTTATATTGTGGAGTGTAAATCTTTAACTAATCAATGGCAATCATACTACAATTCATATCGAACCTGGAAACACATCATTATTTATAATCCGCATCCCTAGAAAACGTGGGATCGTTTGTTGTTCCTCCCGATAGGTGTTAGATGAGACCGGCCCCCAATATTGGTACATCAGCAGACAATAAAGACTGCAATAATGACCGTGGATCCACGGGACATCATCCGCTTTACAAAGTCATGTGCAGGGACCTCCCTTTCCAATGGAAACCGATCAAATCTTTGCTGATAGTCTGTTGAGGTCACGCATATTCTAATTAAGGCAATGCCATAGCTGCTGGTCCCACAAGGGACTGACTAATTTGCCGTATCGCCTGGCAAAATATAAACTTGAAGTTCGTGATGTGGTGGGTACACAGACGTGATCGATGTTTCCGCGAGAGTGTCGTCAGTCCAAATTTTTGTAAAACAGGGTGATGATCTGATTCCATTCATATGAAATGGGTATTGCTGATGTGAAAAGACGCTGTTCGTGCGACCTCTCTCTGCAGAGCGGACCTCTCCCCTGTTCAGAACGCGTTTTCAGAAACTTTTCAGAATTCGTTGACAGCTAGTTCGTACAGTAGGATACGAAGCTACTCCGATGGCCAAACAAAACGTAGAAAAAGTGCTTTTGTTCCCACTTTTGAATCGTAAACTTCAGACCATGAGATAACACTTGCCTTAAGTTAGAACTAACATTTAATAGAAGTTTCAAACCTTTGAAAAAAAAAGTGAGTGAAATCGGCGATGATTTTCGTCTCGAAGACGGAAGAGAATAACACGGTCCGGAGAGTGCTAGGCTCACAACACGAATCTTCCAGTCCTCGTTGATCGTCCACCTCGTTACGACCTCGATGTCGATCGACCATCACGACGACGACATCGTGTGACCGACCCTCATCGCTCAGATACTCCTCTCTGCTCTATAAGGGCTACGAGAGAATCCTACAAGGACACTGAAGTGATTCCGATCAGCAGTAGTCTATCGATTCATACTAGTTTCTGCAACAAGATCAGATATTAATTCATCTTGCCATCTAGATTTACCAGATTGACTGCCGCGCTGTATCCACGTGTATTATACGTTCTGCATCTCTGTGGCAGCAACCGGGAAGTACTTCAGACATTTACGGCACATCGTCGTTCACCGGCCCACTCCCTCCGTCAGGTGGAGCTTCAGAGACAACCAAATTGGAGTTTACGGGCTTTTAGGCAGACTTTCTCCTCCTCCTTCCAACTTTATTGTCCGAAGATTCTGAGTGACGAGTTTGAACAGCATTGTGACTATCTCCCTTTCTTACAAAAGCAGCGTCCCGCACTACCTCCTTAGAGAGGAATTACGTTTCAACGTTCTTTGATTCAAACAGTGGGGTACGGGAGCTACCCAGATCACGCCACATGAAGAGGAGAATTCTAGTTGAGACTTTTATCATAGAGAATGAGAATTATGGTCGATGAGAGTTTATTTGGATTTTATTATTGGATTCATTAATCAGTAGACCATATCAAATCAGTACCAGAGCACTTTGGTAATATGTAAACGTAGACTGAGAGTTGACATACCATTACAAATCATCAACATAATCCTCAGTTTAAAAGTTTCTTCACCTGGTAAAGAAGTCGTTGGCGTTATTTTTTTTCACCATAGATATTTAGTCCATATTTTTAATGAAGAATTTTGACCGTAGGCTTACTTACGGATGAAGAGATGCACATAACTTGAACCAGATAAATTATATATCTTTGAAACATTCAAAAATATGGAATAAATATACCCGGTCATCAACCTAGTCTTTTGAATTTCATTGGAACCTTCAAATGCGCTCGAAACAATGACATGAACTCATTAAGTCATCCCCATTCTTGCGCATCTCCAGTGATCACACTTGACGGCTTTGATTACAAGAAAGTTGGTGAAAAGGAGTCAAAATGCAACAACATCAATCGAATTACAAAGGAGTACATCTCTGTAAAATGTCCGAACAAAGAAAAGAAAATAAAAATTTGTTCTACAAAATGGACCTCTACGTCCCCTGCGAATTGACTTGTACTCTTAGTTTGACTTCACTTTCTTTAGGTCTCACGTGATGTTTTACAAAGTTTGTAATCCTATCTTATTCTTGAAATTGTTGTTCAAATTGATGAATGTACAGATTACGCAACTTTTTTTCCTCATTTTATAAACACCTTAACCATTTGGTATATGTAAGCCAATTTCATTAAACTACTTATATTTAAAAACAACATGCAACTGTTTTTCCTCGTTTTATGAACAACTTAAACATGTGGAATATAGACGGTATTTTTCATTAGATTACATAAATTAATTTAATTAATGATTCTGGTGATTCTGTAATAATTTCTACAACGAGAAATATTAACTACTTTCCTTTGTGTAGATCAAATATGTAATGAGAGTCTTTTAGCAAGCTACTCCTGTTCTCTATTAAAATACGTTGAAACTGTAAAACATTTTCTCAAACATTTATTTTAAACCTCTAGATTTCTATTAACATTCATCAATTGCATACATTCAAAAGAATTTTACATCTTCAATTCATGAAGAAAATAACACAAAATGCAAAAAAGTGTTATAAACTATGTTAGCTCGCTTCTTGCTAGTATCGAGCAGTTAGTCCAACTCCCTCCAATAGTCAATCACCATTGTTGTTACAAGTGCAACATGAGATTGATTGACAAAGAATTTATGTTTTCTTCAATATTTGTTACGAGGATGTTGATGATATTTTTTTAGTCTTTACTTCTCAATTTTGCACAATATAATTTCTGTAGAAAATATTTTTTTTGTCAAGAAAGATGAAAATATCTGGTTTTTTTTTTGGAACAGATGTTCAAAATGGTATTAGGCATGATTTTAATTGATTGGTATAGTTTTAGGCATGATTGCAACTAATTGATATGTAATAAGACGTTTCTCATCCTATATAGTAATAATGAAATTAAATAATAATAATAATTTATTCTAACTAATGAAAAACACTCTATTGTTTTTATTTGAGCTCGAAGGCTATTTTCATAAAAGGTTGAAGTAATGTGAGGAACAATAAATTTGAAGTACCCTACAGAGCAGAAACTCTCACTACCGGAAGAGCTGAAGTCTTGTACTTTCCAGATAAACTATCACGGTAGACACACACGCACACAATTCTTCGGATTTTAGCTACATCTGAAATCCCATTTAACAAAAGTCTGAGGATTGCAAAATCCAATGCTACTCAAATACTCTTCATGTACATGAAATAAAATTCACATCAAACCTTGGCTACTTGTAAAATCTGACTGCATAGAAGAATAAAAGCATTCATAATCCATGTGGGAAGAAACACCATTATAAAATCGATTATGTAGTGAAATATAGATGAGCTTGCGCCATATGCAACGCTCTGGTGCCAATTTGACATTTTCGTGTGTACAACTCATATCGTGCGTACTTCTTGGCTATTTGGGGCGTCTCGAAGTGTAGCCAGTGTAGAGTGTTGATAGGAGGTTTTCAAAGTACAATCTGCTTGCTTTACGTATAGAAGGTAATGTTGGTGCATGTGCTAGTGTCCACATGAGACTGCGGAAAGATAATCCAAGATCTGGGAACTAATGTGATCATTTTTCTTCATTAAAATTTATCTTTTGTTTTTCCCTTTCTGGGTGAGAGTGAAGTTTCTCGCAAAAGGATGAAATAAAGTTGTTCCACACTGCCGGATGGGACAAGATTCCTACTTTCGGGTCTTGATTCTGCTGAGTTCGACGTCTGCACTCATATGAAGACACTGTGTTCTATTAAAAAAGAAGATGTAGTAAACATGGTTACGTACAGCTAAAATCATCTGAACGATTCTTTCAGCACGATGAAGTGAGATATAAAAAACTCGGATGCCGGATCGTAGGTTGGCAGCAGTAATTAACGTCCACAGACGGCGATCTCTATGAGTCCACAGAACCACTCTATTTGCACTCAGAGCATGCTGTATATGCACACACTAAGGTCAAAAAATGTATCACACGATCCGATCACACCTCCTGGATGTAAAGCCACCCACTCCAACCATATCAGCTTCCTCAGCACAAACTTTTTGGGTCTCATAGCCTTGACTGTAATCTGGTCAAATTACCTACCCTCATGCTTTGGCATTAGTAGTATCTCAAGAAGTATCTTCGGTTATACGCATTCACGCAAAACGAGACGGAGTATAAAACTCATAATATTTCTACTCCAGTCTTGGCAGAGAAAACAGAGGGAATTTCACTCTTAGCAGATTGACCATCTCGCTTTGATCTTCAGATCTTGAGCAAATGTATGAGATATGAACTCCATTTCGCACGGCACTCCGTCACCTGTTGCAGTGAGTGCTCGGAAAAACAGACCTTGCATACTACACCTGATCAGCCACGTTGATCAACCGCCTCCAGTAGAGATCAGAGTCCATGCACAGTGTGCTTCAGTTTTCGTCCAGAACTTCAAAACAATTCTCAACAAACGTCGTCAGCACAAAGAGACGCGAACCCGATATCCTTGTTCCCCGTTGTGTAGATAAGGAAGAAGGGCAAGGACTAAACTCAAGCTGACCAAGAAACGCATATTACCATGAGAGGACTATAATAATTCGGTTTCTCAGACGATGAAGCTAAAAACCTTCGGAACCATCATACGGAAAAAAAAGAAATCAAAATTTGCAGCATTCGTTGATGCACGTTGGTCCTTTTATGAAAAACCATACCTCACGACGTAAAGCTACTGACCAGTTGACCGCGGGGCATGATGATTGAAAGGTGTTACCGTTCGTCCTATGAGTAAAAAATTCCAAGACTCACCGATTGGACGAAACTATCATCGACACACGTAAGAGCAACTAGTACATTCGACTCTACGAGCAACAGAAAACTGCGAAAACAAGATAACAGTGACCACAGTCAGCTATCCCGTAAGACTAGAATGTGCTTCTTTCTACGTGTGAGTATTCCTCACCTATTATCTACAGCCCAATGTTTTAATGTAGCGACATGAAGAGTGTGGAATATGTGCCCTCTAAGAACCTCTAAAGTAAAATTAAGTTTCTGAAAAAGGATTATCAAAATTGTACCTCGATACTTCCAACGACTACCGGATTTGAGAAAACTTAGGAACCAGTGCCAGCCACAAACCAACGTGCACCATTCTTTCAAGTTTTGAAACTTACGTGAGCTGATTTCGCAAAAATGAGTGATCTAAATTTCATGTAGACATTATAATGATGATATAGCAGGCATGATCTCGTCTATGAGTGCTAGTTATTAACAACTCAAGACTACATGAATGCAGGAATATATGCTATGCCCCGAAGAGTCAAGTTGCAGGAAAAGAACAATGTAGCTTCGTGGGTCACCATAAACTTTGGTTTTCTGCATTCATCGACGCAGGTACAAATTTACGTCTGTTTCCACAATAGGAGGTGCCTAGACTGATCTTCAACCATAGGTAGTAGATAATAAGCGTTTGAAATGTGAGAATATCAAACAAACCCACGGATTCACGAATCAAGAGAGCAGCAGTTAAAATAAAGAGATTTGGCACACACCACACACATGAAGCCACCCATCGTTCCACGCAAGAATTCTGTTAGAACGCACCATAATTTCCTTTAGAATCATCTCTGCTGTCAAAATTGCTTCATGAAATCAATCGCACTGACTTCAACCTGTAAAACTCCGCTTAATTATCACAGCCTCCTCTTCCTAAGAATTTTGAAGCCTAATAGTGCACTGGAACCTAATAATTGAAGGTGATTTGGAGAGGTTGGCGTGGTCGGCCGTGATGAGAACAAAGGATAATACAGTCGTACTAAAGCTGGACTACTCTAATCGAAAAGGCCAAATCCCATGTCCTGCACACATGAAAACAAAACCCTGTGAGGACTCATCCAAAAAATACGTGACGATCGGAGACATCCGGCAGGAAGAATATAGTCCACCCATACTATCAAGTTGCACTGAAGAAAACAACGGAGATAGACAAGTTATTGACATGAACAACTTCATGGCACGGAACATGAGAAGCTTCAAATTACATATCTACAAGCAGTCCAAGGAGGAAGGGCCAAAATCGAGATCCACACCATTACCCAGATTTGCACAAGACAATGGAATCAACCCCCGAGTTTAACTCTAGAACTACCGCTTAACGACGGCTTTGCAAAAAAATTCACAAAAGCCCAGCTCATTGAATTCGATCAAAGAGAAGGTGGGAGGATAAGGTCATGCTAATCCTTACATCATCAGACTCCTCCTTTGCCTCCTCTTTCTCTTCGACCTTGGGTGCCTCAGCAGCTGCCGGGGCAGCTCCACCACCGCCACCAGAACTGACAACCACACCGCCACCACCTCCAGATGGAACGGAAGCAAACTTTTCCCTACCCGAAGCAATGACCTCGAGAATATCCTTGCCTTCCAGTTCCTTCAAGAGAAAACTAATTTTTGCATTGTCGGCCTCGGCCCCAACTGCAGACCAAGATGTCACAGATTAAGTCCAGGAACCCACAAATTGCTGTTCGAAGTACCAGCGACAATGTTCACCTGCAACATCTGGAAATATGGCCAGCAACGAATCTTGACTTTCAAAACTTTGACGAATTCCCTTCAAGCGCAATCTTTCTACCGAAATTCAAACACAATTTGTGCTTCGCCATCCTGCTAGAGGCACCCAGGATTGGGCATGTTCGAGGGATCACAGTGTATACGACCCAAATCTCCCACGGACGCACCTGAGCTCAAGACAGCCGTCAAATCTTTCGCGGAAGGGTTGGAATTGCCACCCAACAAGCATAGCATGTATGCAGCAACAACCTTCATGGTGGCTTGTCTCGTCTTCTAAGCCGAACCAATCGGATCGACTCCAGCGACCGTTATCGGAAAATCTCTCGAAAGATTTCTAACAGGGACAACACGGAAATTGAGAGGACTCACTTGTCGACCAAACGCCGAACAAACGCTGGGGAGCTCACCACGAACCCTAAGACAAACAATCGAATACGGAGTCAACCTTGTCTTCTAGTATTAACTGCGACCACAGTAAGCCCAAAATACCACTTCTTTTATGAAAGCCAGATCCTTTTTTGACTGTACAGTTAATCATTCGGTTTTCTACTGCATAATATTCTCCAAAGGTCGTTCTTCGAGTGATATACGCCAGATTATAAACTGTGGTCGTGAAACCGTGCAGTCGGGGAGGCGACCACAAACGAAACTTTAGCGAAATTTACCGATAATCAATTTCCGGCTTCCGAGCTTGGAGTTATGGGGAAGCCTCTGCTCGTCCATGTGGTTGAACTCAAATTCTGAGAGCGGTGATACATTGGATGCTGTTTTGTTGCTGCGGGAGAATGGCGAGTCTGGTGCATTCTTCTGCTCTTTCGTGCTCGCGAGCGACTGCTGCTCTAGCTCCGCTGCCCAGCAGGGGAGATTGTCGTGCTTTGAATAACGGAGGTTTGAGGACTGATCTTGGTCTATGTCGTCACAAATCGAATTTGCCCCTTCTGAGGAGGACCCGTTGTGATGCTTTCGGCAATGTGAGAGCTCAGGCCATGTCTGTGGGCGTGGAAACCAAGATTGCTTCTAAAGCCGATGTCGGTGAGGTGAGTGGTGATGGCCTTTGGCATTGCTTAGGCTGCAATGTGTTGATTCCGCTCAGGTTACTTGTGTCTTGGCTCTACTCTTCCTTTTTTTGCGATGAGTTTATTTCGCATTGAATACTGCTCCAATACTGGCCCTTCATTTTCTGTGCATTTTTGCTCTTCATGGAAGACGGTACTTGGTGTATCAGCTCAAGTTGAATTGAAAGTGCCTCCGTCCAATCTTTTATTCTTGTGATTCCATTAGGGCGAAGCCAGACGATGAATTTTTCAGACTACAGGTCTTCTTGTTGCCTGCATTTAATGACCAGACGAGAACTTCGACTTGTTCTCTTAGTAGAGTCAGTCTGGTGGTTGTTCAGCGTACAAACTTAAGACAAACAAAGTGATCAAGTCTATTTTAAGCCGTGCTGAATTGCGAATGGAATAGGATATGAGACTGAAACTTGTAGTAAACATGTAGCAGCTAATATAATATCGTTTTGTCGTCTGACTATGCTTTTCGCAATTTCATTCTATCGGTTTGCTCTTAAATTCCAAATGTACTCATATCGAGATGTACTCTACTGCAGAGCTCGCTGCAGTTCGTCAAGTATCATGGCCTAGGGAACGACTTTATTCTGGTACGTAACTTTCTATCCATGTATGTGGAAAGTTCTGAACTGCCACAATGCGACTTCTCGATTCCTCTGTTTCGACTCTGGAGGAGTAATCAATTATTTTTTAGAAGTGATTCCTGGCCCAAGTCGACGTTCATTTGCCTGTGGGTGTTCTATGCCTATTGGACCGCTTGACGTTTTCTCTTACCTGATTGCAGGTGGACAACAGGAAATCCTCAACTCCGTGTATCTCACCAGAGGCAGCTGCCAAGTTATGTGATCGGAATTTCGGGGTTGGAGCAGATGGAGTTATCTTCGTTTTGCCTGGTATCAATGGCAGTGATTATACAATGCGCATTTACAACTCCGACGGGAGTGAACCCGAGGTATTTGTTTCTGTAATTCCTCAAATCCCTTTCAACATACTTGTTGTTCATACGAAACAACGCTAAGCATGGCTCATAGTGCAGATGTGCGGAAATGGAATTCGGTGTATGGCGAAATTTGTCGCTGAGCTCGAGGGCATCACCGAGTCGAGGAGGTAAATTTGTCTAGTTCCCAGTTGGATGAATGCAAGCGATTAATTGGTCGACGAGCATCATCGAACTTGCTCTAGAGTGGTAAGATCCTTTTGTAACCGTCGAGTAGACATTCTCACATATACAAAGCCAGATGGGTAGCAAATCAGGGTCACTCACTGTGGTTGTGAATTGTGTTTGCAGCTACAAAATAGATACCCTCGCTGGATTAATTGTTCCCAAACTGATGGACGATGGACAGGTGACATTTTTTTAGCACGTTCAAGTCCTGTAGGTCACATGAATTTAGTGAACCTTTCCTTTTGTCTCCGCCAGTTTCTTTTTTAGAAGTTTCTGAGGCGAGGTACTTCGATATCAGCAGGTCATAACTAAGATCTGTTGACTGGGCTTGTCGACACGATGTTTCTGCTTTTGCTATCTCTGGTTGATTTATTAACGTGAGCTTGGATGCCATACGATATTAAAGTCTTCTTGAAATTTGTCCTCGATACCAGATATGTGTGGACATGGGGACCCCTATATTAGAAGCGAAAAAGATACCAACAACGCTTGAACCTACTCAAGACGGGGCGGTTGTCAAGGCTCCGTTGGTTGTGGCAGGGAGGTCTTGGAATGTCACTTGTGTCAGTATGGGAAATCCTCACTGTGTTGCACTTCTAGACGCCAATGAGGTCAACTTCTCCACCCTATCTTCCTGACGATCACTTACGCCTGAAAATAACTTTGCTTGATTTTTGTAGTTTTGATTGTCTGTATACCTGTCATGCTCACTTGAGGAACCTCTTCTGTAAAGATGAAGGTAGGCTCTGAACTGAATATCGCAGCTGTTTAAGCTATGTATGCTTTATAGTAGCCATGTTGTTAATAAAAGTAAAATGCGGTCTTCTGTCCAGGGCACAGGCTTGAGGTAGAAACTGCGTTCTGAAACTTTGACAGATGTATTTGAACTTTCAGGACGTTTACTCTCTACCCCTAGCTGAGATTGGTCCCCTTTTCGAGAAAAACGAGGTTTTTCCAGCGAAGACCAACACAGGTTCGTGACAGAGCGTTTTAAATCCCTATTTAGAACGTTACTCGTTTGAGTGGATGGCCTTGTTGATTCCCTATGTGCTATATTCTGTGCGCTTAATTGCGCACGCAACTAACGCACATCTCCTATCAACAAGGCCGAGTTTATTGACTTCTGCATTTGTAGGCACTCGACCATGTTAAACGGCTTCATTCGGTATATTCTCATGTGCTGTCATACATGTAATTTCTTTAACATCAGACATCGTCTGATACGGAACATGTAAGGCGTGTGGAAGACGCTAGTAAGGGTTATGCAAGAGAGAAAAATAAGCTGGGCATGGATACTCTCACGATGATTTGAAATTTCCATCTTAACATTTAGTGGGTGAATTTTTCCAGAATTTGTTCAAGTGCTGTCGCCATCGCATTTGCGAATGCGTGTCTGGGAGAGAGGTGCAGGTGAGACATCTTCCTCTCGTACTTGGCTATTGTGCTCGACTGGAATTTGTTTAGCAAGATATGTGTTTGTATAATACCGTATGTTCTCAGATATAATCCTGACGTTCTCGGTGAGTACTACTGTGCACTGTCTATGCTTCTGAGGTTAGGACGAAACGTTGACCCTTAGTTTCTATCGCTCTTTATCTTACGGGTATAACTGTTTCTTTCTTTCAACTTTGATTTGTAAAGCAAAAATGTTTGTATGAACATACAGAATGGAGATAAATATGCAAGGTCATTTAAGCACATGCGTTCTGATTAGAATGTGAGAGCATTTTGTCATCTATGATTCCCAATGAACTTTCTGTACTGGATGTGATTGGTGACGCTACTTAGCGAAGAGGATACCGGCCCTTTCTAATGAACAGCTTGTTTTGGCAGGTCCTACTTTAGCTTGTGGAACAGGTGCTTGCGCCCTAGTTGTAGCAGCTGTATTGGAAGGGCGTGCTGAAAGGGTAAGACCTGAAAAATGTTTCATGTATGCTTTTTTTCACATTGCTCTGCCGGTTCAATTCAAATAGATCTGTCCGAAATGCACTAACATTTATCAAAGCTCAAAGCAGTCACTATGTCCAAAAATAACATATGTCAGGTTCATGAGTTAGTGAATCAATTTTGGGTTTCTGGGTTGAATCCTTGAAACTCCGAAGTTCTTTCATCCATGACAAAGAATCCCGTCCATCAGGGTCAAGTTCGAAACATGCTTGACGAAATTAGCTCCTCTGCTCGGTTTGTCCTCAGGATTGTTTGGTGGAGCTTCCAGGGGGTCCCCTTCAAATTGAGTGGAGAGAAAGTGACAACCATGTCTACATGACGGGACCAGCCGAGATTGCCTTTCGAGGGACTGCGTACTTGTAAAACTGACGTCCTTAAAGACGTTCAATTCATTATCAAATGTCGTATATGTAGCAGAATCCAAGCTCAAACTTGCTTCTAATATATTATCAGCAATTTTGGTTCACCACTTGTTCTAGGAAGTGGTGAGCTTTGATAAATAAAAGGAGCTCGAAGGAAGAACGTCTTTTCTCGAGGGATTGATTCCGTAGAGTTTTGGTACCAAACAGGTCTTTTTCTTTGTCTCTCTGGCCGTGTCGCGTATTCATATAGGAAGAATTAGCAGTAAAAACTTACGTACAGTCTGTCTTGGTTTATGTACACTTACAGTTAGTTTTGTAAATTACGCCTGTGTAACATGGCTGTGAGCGAACGGATTTGTGGCGATGTGTTAACAGCGCAGATGATCTCCCAATCCACTTTAAGATCCAATTTACATGTTATGAGAGCGATGTACGAGACACCTCATATTCACCTTAATGGCTGCACCTCACAAAATTTGCTTCCAGCCGGTCATCCCGAAACCACGTTAACTGCAGACATAGGATCGGTAGAGGAGGTACTCTTGCAGAAAACTTTCATTTCGAAACTGTAAACGAATGACACTCTTTCAGCGCTCACGGCAACAAGTGACTACAATTGGACGTGAACCTTTCATTACAGGATCTACTGTTATGAATGTTCATGGCGCGAACAATCGAACGATGTCAATAGAATCGGGAATGGTACTCATATATGTCAATGTACGATTGTTTTTCTCATATGTTTCGCAGTTGTGTTGACTTTGATGGATCAAACATTCTACAACACCCTGGCTTTATGTGATTTACACTCCTCACTCATCTGTCTTTGCCACTCTGTAGATGCTTCTTGCATATTGCTGTCCTCTACTATTTCCGAGCCAAGGATAAAGGGTTTGTCTTCTATCAACTCTCGACACATCTCAAGGCTGATGCAATGCCTTGCCTGTTGTCTGCTTCTGTGATGATTCCAAAGAAGCAGACTGTTCTTTACTATCATTCAACTATCATATACATCATTGTCCAAGCATGCCTACTAGATTTTATCTTTTTTACTCATAAAAATAAAATCTTTTTTACTTCTGTATATATATGTATATATATGAGAGTTTCAGTAAAAAAAATTGGAATCACAAGAAAGGTATTGCTCTTCGCCAGAAACTATAAACTGGAAATTGCTGAGAACAACCTCTACAACTGCAATAAACTTCTACCATTAAGACAAGCTTAATGATTTAAGGAAATTGTAACCTGATAAATGAGGTTACCCTCCGTCCACAGTTGCGTTTGATACATTTTTCATGTGATGCAGCAGATAACAACCATTATAGCTTGCAGTGTCCATGGAACCCACGATGGTAGAGCTTTAGACCCTAACAGATAATGACCATGTTCGCAAAGAGTGTTGACTACAAAACGCCTGTCCTCGATAAAACTTTTACTCTCTCACCATAAGATTTTTGAACTATCTTGAATCGATCTTGTAACCCCAATGTAACGTGATCAAGAAGGTGGTAAACTCATGCGGGCCCGCTCTACTTTCCCAAAGACTGCCGAGTAGAGTAAGTACATATTCAGAGGTACCGTTACACTCAAAAACGGTTTAAAACGCCCCCGATAAGGAAGTAAAACACTAAACAAACTCACATGCCAAAGCGGTGACAGATGAGACGTCTGTTAGCTTTAAGATAACAGCATTGTGTCACTTAAGTATCTTACAGTAACAAAACTTATTGTTCTAAAGTGGTGTTCATGCTTATAGCTCTCTTTGAATAGACGATTATCATCTAGTAGTTATCTAAATGATACAGGCTGACACATACAACAGCGCATGCATATATATATATATATATATATATATACACGCAAATTGTGGCCAAGTTTTGTACCATGGAAGATGATTACTATATACAATGGTTTAAGTACAGCGGCAATCGTTATACCAGGCTGTACGGACAACGTTTTCTCAACATACCCTACTGCATAACTTATGTGAAATCCCATCTTACCAATTTGGTTTCATCCATGTACAAGTTGATGGCTTTTCCCATACTTTTTCGCTATATTACTTGGTCTCCCTCTTGAACTTACACGAAGGCAGTATCCGAAGAAGTATATGATAAAAGCATAATACGTTCACAGTATATCAGTAATGGGGTGTAGAGAAAGTAGGGAAATAAAATTTATGGACAGATTGTCAAACTTTGACCAGGCAGCCAAGAAGGCTGGATGCAAAAGCAGTGTAGCACTACACGCATGATAGCTTAGAATAGTGTAATCTTGAGTGTTAGTCGATACCCTGAGGCTGGAATGGGACAGTCAGGTGGGCACAGACAGCTCGCTGCCGGGAATGTCGAGCTCATGTCCTTGACTACGGTGCGAGGAAGCTTCTCATGAATTTCCTTCGACAATTGCGTATCATCGTTCTGTACAGCTTAAGTTCTGGATCTTGAGTTGCGAAATACTTGGCTTATATACTCCTAGAACTGAAGTTCGACAAACCATGTCTTATCATTTTGCAGTTTCGAAGCAAATGTGTGTGACTAGGTGCACAGACCAAAGTAAACACTTCGCAATCAATCGTGTATCTTCATGTCCCTTGTCCTAAATTTTCGAACTGAAAAGATATCTCTCTACAGATCTTTCGACCAGAATAGTTTGACTCCAAGCCATGGTGTCAATGTTTTGGTCGTCATTGTTAGCGCCGAATTCTAGGTTCGACGCGGAGTAGGTCCGATTCATAATCAAAAGGTAGCATGCAAGGAGTCAAGGCTACCAAGCAGAAGTTGCTTCAAAGATAAGTGACCAGGTCATAAAGCAGATGATGGTGACCAGCTCCCTTCCTTTCTCCCTTCTTTAATCCTTTTCAGCCTCTGGCTTTTAGAATCCAGATGACTCAGAGATTTCCTTTCCTCTTACTGTTTTATTTTTCGTCTTCCTTAGTCACCGAAGAGGTATGCTAAGACAGCATGGAAAGAAATCATTCATCATGTACCATGAAATCAGAAAATTTGTGGTGATGATGCCTCATATTCCAAGATCATCAATCACTTCCAAGTCAAAGATCTCATTATTTTACATATATGCATGTCTATATATTCTGTTATAAATCCCCTGCAAACGTTGAGATCAATTTCGGAGAGTGGAGTTTCCGAGTGTCGTACCATGTGCGACAAGTACCAACTGCCAAATTGACACACATCTGCACCAACATCTGGGAGCAATTAGATTATTGTAATGCAAACCAGGTTCCCATTTCAGAGACTCTGCAGAACTGCACTAGATTACACATGTAGACCCTCCTTTTGGTAGACAAAGAAACAGATATTGAGACACGCAAAAGTTCTTCTTCGGGTTGAGCAGGAGGTTAGGTTTGACCCATGTGCTGGTCAGTCTCAGGAGACTCCAACGCTTCTACAGGAACGTGACTACCGCCGTAACTTCTAACAGTCTAGAGGCTCAATTTTGGGCCCAGGTTTGCAACTTCTGCCTTGCAGGCAAAAGTAGCAAAAGTGCACGTGTACGCGGACAAGGAAACTATGATTTGGGAGCGGACTCGGAGGAGAGTGCCACATGCTGGAGCTTGAAGACATGAGAGCAGCGGCACTTTGCTCAACTCTGCATTTTGGGCTCACTAGTTGTCCATTTAAATTTCCACTTGACATTTACCTTGACGTTTTGATCGTGAGCATGCTATATTGGGTCTGCTGCGACGCGGAAAGAAGCATTCTCCTTGGCAGCTGCTCTTCGCTTCTTCGAAGTTGAGTGGTTTGACTAGTTTCGTTCGGCCAAGCTACGGAATCTTCGGAGCAAGGAGGGAACTTCCCAAGTTCTTTCCAGGAACCTCAATTGGTCCCCGACCACTTCAATGTGGTGTGAATGGGAAAGTCCTACTATCTACTAAGCGTTTTATCCCATCTCTCACGACTCTTCCTTCTGGCATCTCGAAGGCGAGACAAGAGATGGTGCAGAAAAAAGGTAAAGAACTTACTTTCACCTAAGGACTCTCAAGTTTACCTGACCTTGAATCGAAGCTCTGAATGGTGTCTGAAAATGCGAGCCAATCTGAACATTGCGAGCGAATCAGATGCGTAGTCTCTTGTGCAGCACATCATATCTACTTCACCATGATAGCTATCTGAGCAGATAGGTCAATTGCAGGAGGGTGCCTTGAAAGGATGACGAGCAATCTGGGAAACCGCATAATCCAGACCAGACGCGTTTGACCAGAGAAGAAAACTTCCTGTCAGGGAAAGACTGGAAGTTGTGGCCGCCGTTGCGGTGGGATTTCGAAATACAGAATCTGACTGTTGAACCTTTTAGGCAGCTACTTCGATCCCTCCCTTCCCCCTGGATCTGATTAGCTACAGCGCCCAGGGCATGACTTTGGTTGCCAAACTCTATCCGGATGCACATGTAACAATCAAGTCAACCTCGATCTCCATCCATGCACACTCAAGTGTTCGTCTCAAGTGACCACTCTCATGCTCCTCCTCCCTGGGTGCTTGCTTGCTTGGTCAGGTTATGAAGGTCTTTCAAGGCCAGGCCAGTCCTGAGCCTGAAGTTCAATTTATGATCAAACGTTCTTAAACTGAGCCTTCGTTCAGAGTAATGCTGTCATTGCTGTAGAATCCCGTTCTCATGTTTACTTTTATGCTCTTCGGCAAGCATTGAACTGACCACATTTGTACACTCGTGTTCTATCTTCAATTATTATGCATCTTCTCTGCAGGTGAGATGGTTTTCACCGATGGAACAAAGATGAAACTCAATCTTGGTTTCTCTTTTCTGAACGTACTTTGATCAATATGCTCTTATCCCCAATTCGCGTTCTCCTATGGCAATGCTTATATAAGCAAGCATATATTTGCCAAGAAAAAAATTACATGTTTTCCTCTTATTTAATATTCTCTTATTATTATGTTTTCCCCTTTATTTAATATTATGAATTAAACAGATTTTTTCAACGATTCATTATATTAAGTACATGAATTTTGAATCAATATTAATCAGTATGAAAATAAATAGAATATCTTTGAACATTTTGCCCAAACTCTACACTTACTGCTAAATTGATATAATGTATATAATATAAAATAATTTTTTTCTTCTGTATAGTTTGTTTTATTTTCAACAAAATTTGAAAGTGAATTTGTATTAAAATATATTCTAATGCAAGAATTCATCATTTATTCATGCATTTCAATCTTTATGATTTTGGAATAATTTGATGGCTATTTTGAACCTTTGAAAGATGACATAATCTGATGAAAAATATTATTTCTATATTCTGCATTTTCTTGATATGGCAAATTATAATTCTTCAATTCATATATATGAATTTTAAACCACTTCCTAACTGAGTAAAAGAAAAAAAGAAAAGCGTCAAATACTTCAATTGTTCTAGTTAAGACCAAAGGTGTAAAACGTTAGTTCTACATAACATTTTTTCGGTCTTGCTTTTTTTGCTGATTTGGTCTCTCTAGGTTGGATTCCAACTCAAGATGATAAAATCATTTTTGATTCAGTTGATTTGCATAGACATAATACATATCAAGATCATGATCTTGTAGTAAAAATAATGATAATTTTAAAATTCGTTTATAGGTCAAAACTGAAACGTTTTGATCAATTTTTAAAGTGTTGAATTGTAGATCAGCATGTAATATTAAGCTTAAACCAAATTTATGTATAGTATGTACATCTGAACAATTTGATATTGATAACTATATATCAATAATGATGAATTTTTGTTTTAATATTTTCTTTTGAAAATATATTTTTATCATATATCCAACTTCAATGAATGAAATTCAGTTTTTTATTATGAAAATTTCTAAATTATTTTTACAAACAAAATTTTGACTCAAAATGAATAGAAAATTAGAATACTATCTTGCATATATCATTATATAAAGAAATGTGATACAAATTGTGATCAGTTTCTTTTAATAAGTTAAATTAATTTTTTATGAATCATTTTTATTCCTTAAAATTAAGTTAAGTAAAGCTTATATTATTAAAATGAGTGTATAGATATATGTGTAAATTTTATTAATCCTATAGAATTAGGTATATAGGAATAAATATTATATATAAACAAAATAATATTTTTATAATATTTAATATATTGATCTAAACTTGCATAAATATATAAAGTTACTTATTTAATATTTCCAATTAAAAAATAATTCATATAATTTCTTTTTGAGATTGTTAACAAGAAAAAAGGGGTGAAATATTCAAATTTACATATCAAAACATGGTTACTTTTCATAAAACATAGCACAAAATAGTAATTTATTTTTCAGTTTGAAAGAAAACATCTAATTCTACTGTTTTTTGCTTTCAAATATGATATTTATGCTGAGGCATTTACTTGATGGAACCTCATCAGAACCTAAATTGCTTGCTGGAACCCTTTACATTTTGTTTTACCCAATAAAACTCCACTGGCTGTACACATCACGCATACCCTATAGTATCAATAATGATGCAGGAAGTGGAACTCTTTGCAGCTATCTCGACTCTCGAGTTTGGACACATTGGATGAATTTGAAACACCCATACAAGCATATTGGAAGTACTTGCATATACGGAAACAAAACCTTGGAATTCGCCACAGCCGTGCCATGCAACAGGAAATTATGACGTCCCATATCACTAAGTCGCAACCCGCCTTACTCCACCGTAGTGTTTCTTAGTAGGTACCAGGTCACACCACTCGCGATGTTACTCGAGAGCAAATACAACAGCAAAGGCAAGAAAATTGGCTGAAATTGGTCCAACACTTCCAATGGTCACAAATTTGGCGTGTCGTATATAAGAACGCGTTTTAGAATTCCGCGACGGTGTGCAGTTGATGGTATCCCATAGGGTGAAATGAAACTTGATGGGATCCATCAAGCAATTAGTTTTCAATGGGGTTCTAATAAATAAATATTCCTATTTATGTCTAATCAGATTATGATGCTAAAATACATTTTTTAGCATTTATTTGTTTTTATGTTTTCATAAAATCCAAAGATCAATCGTTAGAAAAGTCATTTAACTATTGTATTATTCAATTTTAAGATAATTTTATTCTAAATTGTAGCTTTTGAAATACATAATTAAAATTAAAATTAAAATATTATATTAAATATTTTTTTGAATAAAAAAACACTTTGTGTTATATTCTTGCAATAAAACATGATGTAATTTTGATCTAACATTTTACTCTGCAAAATTTGACATTTCATGCATAAGATGTGAATCGAATCAAAATAAAATTTGAAATTTTTGATGTCAAATATTCAAGCTATTTGATCATAAAACATACGACTAAAGTATGCATTTATTGTATGTATGCTTCTACATTTATATTGATGATAATTAAATGAAACAATTGAAAAAAATTTTATATGTATTTCACAATATTTGGATGAAATACATCCAAACACCACATTTATGTGCTGAAATTCAGTCATTGAATGATTATTTTACTGGGTGGGACCTCATCAGAAACTAAATTGATTATTGCAACACTTTAAGTTTTGTTTAAACCGATGGAACCTCACCAACACTACACATCATGCATGTTTTATTATCAACAAATGGTGAAGATATTGGAACTCTGTCGCAATCGGGACTTTCGATGTTAGACTCTAGTGAAGCTATGTAGCAGCAGCTGGTTTGGTTTGTTTTTTCTATCAGTCAGTATCACATTGACTCCAATCAACGAAAAAACGCAAGAGGAGAGTGCATGACATGTTGTCACACGTCGTCCGTAGCCGTTTGTCGTCACTATGAATGCCTGCTACGCGATGTGGAGGGCGATGAAATCCGTGCAACATGGAAGAATGATAGCGTTGATGGTGGAGACTTAGGTCAGCTCGACGTCGAGCTATGTTGTACCATTTAATTTTTTGCTAGCCGATCTAGAGTGAAATTCAATGCCAAGATGATGCGTAGAGGTCCATCAAACAAGCCTTCAACGAGTAGTCGGGCTAAGAACCACGAGGTCATTCCGGATTTGAGCAATGAATGAATGCTGGTGTTCCTAGGCGACAAGGCGGCGGAGCTGTAGCGGAACCTTTTGAGCATTATGCTGACGGCGACGTGCTAACTAGACAAGGGAGAAAAGAATGAAGGCCATGATACAAGGATGGGGAGTGGTATATTAAAATCCACTAAAGTTTGCATCACATGTGTAAAAGAACAAGTTTTAGAACTTTGCGATCGTGTGCCGTCAATGAGGTACTATCAAGTAAAATGAAATTTGAAGTATCAAGCAATTTAGGTTCTCATGGGGTTCCATCAAGTAAATACCTCGACATTGAATCTATCATGTACATTTTTTGTTGTTTTAAATTTAGTAAATACAAGTTTGAAATCTAAATCATTGTTCATTTTTTTGTTTTAAATATTTTTCAGTTATCTCATAGAGTAAGACTGTTAGCAAATCATTTTGTCTTTGTTACAACTTCTTATACATCTCTCAATTCTATTTTAAAAAATTAATAAAATTAAAAATATATTGATTAAAACAAATTCCAATTTATAATACTATTTTTTTGTATGATTATTTTTGAATATAAAAATCAAGTCTTTATTTAAATAATCATATTAAATTCAAGTAATATTGAAGTAATGTGTGCTTCATTTTTTGTTGTAGGCTAATCCATGTTCAAATGAATTGATTTTGAAGAAAATATCATTAAATGAAAATTTTAAAAAATAAGATGAGATCAAACATCATAGATTTTCTCTATAGCATAAATTTTTTTCACTCATCGTATAAATCATCCCATCATTTAATTGCAGTATCATATTCTGATGATGAATTTCACAAACTGATTTAACCATAAGTTACTCAAACTAGCTTTCATTTTTACTTGGTTGCGCTGTCCAAATTAAAATGATGAACAACTAATGAACAAAGTGAAAAATCGCCTGTCAAAGCGATGTGTGTATTGCTTTTTTTTTGTATATGAAATGTACAAATCTTATCAAACTTTGATAAGGTAAATAATGTGTGAGTAAAATATGAATACAAAAAATTAGTAGTGGAATAGTAAAATTTACTATATTATCAGATGAGTTGGTTAAACGCTTGAGTCACTCAGACAACCGAGAATTTTGCAAGACTAGATACTGGATTTAAGTCCATTAGTTGCTTTGTGGTGAACGTATTGAGCAATTTGGATGTCTTTTTATATCTCCGCAGACCAACTTTCATATCCTTCTCACGGGTTGATACATATGGCCTGTCTGTAAAAAGCCACCATTGCAAGGCAAAGTAAAATGTTCTCTTTTAAAATATCCACAGAAAGAGAAAATAATGCTACAACAAATCCTGTCTTTACATTTTTAGGCTAATCGAGATGAGCATGTGTATATACTGGAACAAGAGTCGAGAGATTTCAACTCTAAACGTTGGTCCAACTTGCGGCCATTCGCGGTCAACTGGTACTTCCATACACAAACGAGACTAAAGTAGTCCAGATTTGGATCAATAAGAAATGATGATGAACTTGCATTGCTAGCCGAGATCATGGCCTAGGAATCACCTGCCGTGGGAGGTGAATTTAGGTACTTGTAGTGCTTCTTCATCTCTCTTGTCAGAACCAGAAATGTACTTTTGGATAGAATGTATACAAGCTACCTGCGAGACCAACTCCCAACTCCCCCCTTCAACACCATTCTTCGTAATGGACAGCTAACAAGGCAAGGAAATATGAGAGGAGGGCACTCACGCAAAGAAAATCAACTTTTTACACATCGGAAAGCTGGAGAGAAAAGAAAAATGTGATGAAAGGGGAGGGAAGGGAGAGAAATAAAAGGGGACCGGGCCAGGCCAGTGAGCAGCGAACGACAGAAGCCCATACCCAGCCATGCCATGCTGTTCATGAGAATCTGACGCGGTCAGCAAGTCTGACACACGGACCGATGACAGTGGGGTGCCGCACTGCGGGCCTGTCCGGCCGACTGAGCCCCTGACCGACCCACACACATCTTTAAATTCCCTCGATGCACGAGGGAACGGGCCGGTCGAAAGAATGAAATGCTCACATGGGACGCCTTTCTCCTGAATGCCTTTCTATCATTTTGCACACAGTGCTCCCGGTACAATATTAATTGATTGATTGTACCAACGACGAAAGTGTGATTTAGTGACCGCCCCAGCCCATCGCCCATCACTTCATAGCCTACGCCAGTCTCGCGCACCCAACGGGTAGGTACCGGAAGGACGAGTACTCGTCGTAGTAGGTCAAGGGAGGGCAAGAGGGGCCGAGAGAGCGTGACGAGAAAGAGCGGCACGGCAAGCCAGAAGTGTAATTGTGCGTGTAGCTTCTACGATCTTGCCTACCTCTAACTCTCGCACCGCATCCCCCTCGGACCCTACTCCTGCTCTGTGCCCCCTGAACTCTGCAACCTGCGAACTTCTGGCCCATACAGGAATTGCGCCCGTTGTCGAGGCACGATAAAGGGCCGAGTATATTTGGGAGGAAGCGGGACGGCAGACGACTTCAAGACTCGGTCGTCTCGTCGAGAGCAGAGCGCTGGAACGAGAAGACTTGGGCTCGAGAAAAGAAGCGGGGAAAGAAGCTCGTCGTGCTTCGGGCTGGCAGAAGTCTAGGGCTGTATGTGAGTGGGTAGAGTGCTTGTTGCTGTGACAGTCGTCGGTGTTGCGGGGCTGGTTGCGGAAGCGGAAGCGGAAGCGGGAGCTGTGGAACGTCGGAGATGGAGCGGAAATCGGGGACGATGGTAGGGGTGATGGTCGTGGGGTTTCTTCTGTTGGCAGAGCTTCCCTATATCGTCGCCGATTATCAGGGCGACGCGCTTTTCGCGCTGAGAAGAAACTTGAAGGACCCTGCGAATGTTTTGCAGAGCTGGGATCCGACTTTGGTAAATCCATGCACTTGGTTTCATGTGACTTGCAACTCTGGCAACCAGGTCATTCGGGTGGACCTTGGAAACGCGGGCCTTTCGGGCTCGTTGGTGCCCGAGCTAGGCAACCTGCATAGTCTGCAGTATTTGGAGCTCTCGAAGAACAAGTTGGATGGCACGATACCGCAAGAACTGGGAAAACTGAAAAATCTCGTCAGTCTGGACTTGTACTACAACAATTTCACAGGCGAGATTCCCTCGTCGCTGGGTGAGTTGAAGTCGCTCGTCTTTCTCCGTGTCAACAACAACAAACTCAGCGGGCGCATTCCTAACGAGCTGACCAGACTCCCGAACTTGAAAGTTGTGGATTTCTCCAGCAACAACTTCTGCGGTACTTTCCCGACCTCGGGCTCGTTTGCCCGATTCTCTTCCAAGAGTTTCGAAAATAATCCATCACTCAACGGTCCCGAGCTTTTGGGAGCCCCCTACGACTCGACTTGCCACTGATGCATCTTTTCCTCTGTGCTCTCTGCACTTAACATCATGATACCTCTGTGAGCGGCTCGAGCCTCTTGCGATGAACGCAGCTTTTTTGGTGAGGGCAAACACTGTAATTGGGTGATTGTCTACTACATGAGACAGGTCTTTTTTGCCAGATTAGGCGCAGCCTCGTCATCTGACTGTAGTGTAGCTTAAGTGCTTTACGCCTTTCCGTAGATGCGATAAATTCACCGAAACGTACATACTCGTTGACAGTTATCCACCAGCTACAGATAGAATGCGGGAGCCAGACCCCATACGATGGCTTCATGCAACGAACTGATTTTCTCTTCTTTGTAATGTAACCTTTCCCGCCAGTCGGTTGATATGCATCAGCCTTTGCAGATGAGAAATTGCCTAAGACTTTGTTGGCGTCGCATCTCAAGTGAGATCCAAGATGATTAAATGCCTTGTTCTTGATAATCAATTTGGTGTTGCCACCCGTCGATCATACGATTCATGTTCTATTGTATTTCACGTTTTTGGATTCGGTCTTGGTTTTCTGTTTCACTCCTGCGTTGCTTAATCGTACCAGCGAAGATCTCTGCCATCAAGCAGCAACGCAAAAGTTTCAAATATCCGCTGTAAATCTGGCTGGCCTCGGCTTGAAGAGTGCCAGTTTCTTCATGAAATAATTTGCCTGTCAATCGATAAAATCGGCTGTCGTGGGTGGGTCTTGCTTCCTATGCTCATCGCTATGCCGGAGCCAAGGCGTTCACGAAACAGAACTTCCACAAGGACAATGGTTGGCCTTTCCATGTTACTCCGGAGCAGGACCATGCATATGCATCATTGTGCGAAGAATGTTTTTCTCTCCACCACATGCAAATAAATCAACTTGGCATGCAGGCCATCAATTTCATCGATCTTGCACATCACGAGGAGCTGTTCTTTGGCAGAGCTGGCTTCTTCGAGAAATATCCAATTTTGAAAGCCTACTGTAGAGGTGCACTCATCACTGGCAGTGAGTGAAACCCCGTGAGTCTCCATGTGGCTAGCATGCAATTCCAAGTTGCTGCAGGCAGGCAGGGTGCAGGTTCAGGGTAAACTGTAGTAGTAGGTGGGCAAGGCGGCATGGGATGACCTAGCTTCTTCGTCAATAGAACGCCAGGCTGCAGGAATCTTCCCACTCAGTCCTCCAGTCCAGGAGATAATTTGACCGAAAGGACGTCGTCGTACACACGCAATTCATACCTTGCATATTTTGTGAATTGATCACCTCATGTTTCTGCATCGTACTGTACCCTAGCCACTGAACCCCCACCCGGTTTTTGACAAGTATTCAAGAACGCGTATTCTTGATGATGGTTCAAGTGCAGGCATTAAATACATTGCTCAAGTTTTAACGGTCAGGACTTTAAAGCCTAAAGTCACTCACCATCGAAGAGTTCTGTTATGACGTGCTAGAGAAAAGGCTTCCGAATGGAGGGCCTGAATGTCATGCCCTACCTCCGACTACGGCCAAGTAGAAGCAAGACTAGAAGATACGCTCTGCAGATCAGCCCTCACAACTGACACCAAAGAATGCTCCGCCCGGACCGACGGGAAGCTTGAAAAAGTTCGGGAAACCCCTACCCCTTCCTCGTGTCTTGTACCTGTGTGCTTGCAACCCACTACTGCAGCTCGCAGATCGTCGCAAGAGTGGAGTTCCATCTTACATCTGACAGGAGACATGATGGAGGCAGAAATTCGGCGGAGATTCGAGCAACAGCAGTGAAGCTCAAGGTACAGGCGGTGTCATCGACGAGTCATGGAGCAGAAATTTCTACTTGCGGGATTATCGAAGAAAACTCAGACACTCCGTCAGACGGATCCACAGACAGACAATCGGTCAGCAAGTCCGCCCAGCGTAGTGAAGTCAAGCTAGTCTATGGAAGATAGCTGTTATTGGATATCTCAGAGAGAGCTTCAGAAGGCAAGAAGCAAACAGTGTCGTCTCCTCTGTTTGCTGCTTGCCCGACACGTACGCCCAGTCTCCACATATTTAGGATTCAGACCCGGACAGTTCCACTTCCCCGCTCCCGTTCAGGAACACCAGCATGAACGTATGTCCACAGATGGAGAAATTTGATTGGCCCACCATTATATTGGAAAGAACGAATCTGTGCAAAGAATGGCTCCGAGGAAAATCGTGAAAATCGAAGGAAGGCATTGCTCAAATATTGATCCCTGAACTGGACTGCCACGACTCTCTCCTGATACAATAAGTGAATTTCGTCCAACAAAGTGTACCTGCATTGTGAGGTAGTGCAGCACATGCATCATTTCTCATGGCTCATTTCTCACGGCATCCAAGTATTCTTTCATAGCTTTTGATCTGTCATTATATTTGACATGCTTTTCATGGAGAAGCATGGTATATTTGATAACAGAAATGAATTATAATCATGAAATGTATATGGAGAATAGATTGATAGGACATGAGCAGGTTTTCATACATTGTGAATTCTTTTCTAGAACTAAAATTTGATGTACAATTTTCTCCATACCTCTGTGTTGGTTCACTTGATATGTAAGTTACCCAATATGTTATACACTTATAAAAACTAAGTTTTTTTCTCTTGGATCATAATGAGATTTCTCACTTAAATCTGATTTCCTTTGAAAATTCCAAAAATTTGATTCAATTAGAACCTAGTTGGATTGAAGAGAATTGCAATAGAAAATCAATGACATCTTTGTACTGCATGATTTTGATGATTGACAATTTACCACAAGAGATGTGAAGTTCTTATACAATGTTCTGCATGCGGAAGACATACATGTTGAAGTACTATGTCACAATATATTTGTTTTTGTGCTAGATATGATTGCACTTTCTTCCATGGCTTGAGTATATGTGTTGATTAGATTTTTTTTGGTTAAAAGTGAATCCGAAACTTATTATGTATCTCTGAAAGTGATGAGCATTATGATCAAACTTTATATTATTGCTTTTTGGATTTAGGTTTCCCTTGCTGCATAATGAGGTAAGATGCAGTTAGATTACTACCATTCAATTGGTTAGAACATGATAACTTCCTATGTGTGTATGTTTTATCAAACTTGTTCGATTGATGTCTAGTTGTATTAGAGTACATATAGGATTTTCCATTGAATTTAAAAATTTCAAAGATATTGGATAAGTTTTTAAGAGAAGACACTATGAGATGGAATGTCTTCTATGAGTCGGATTTGTTAGTCTAAAATATGCACAGTGATAGGCAGACATGTAAATAGTAGACAAACACAGAACACGTAGTGATAATGTGGTTCACCCTTCTGAGGACTATGTTCACTGATGAATACGCGTGAGAGACTTTACTACCAAGGTGAAATCATAACAACGTGTACATCGCACAGCCATCAGGATATATATATATATATATATATATATATATCCTACACCGACGACCAATCTCAGCTACAAATAGCTAAACATGAGGTTACCCCTTAACCGGAGTTAACCTCAATAATCTCCCTATTAACTCGTGTTAAGGAAATAATCACCTCTGTAAACTATATTATTACTTCAAGGGAAGTTCTTGACAAAAATTTAACACAAGATACCTTTTTAGACAGGAGTTAATTAGAATTAAGCTGTAACCATAACAAGATAGAGTAATAAAATAAAGTGAAAACTAAAAAGCTGCTAGCTTAGAGGGAACAATAAACTTGTAACCTATATAATTAGTCAGCAGAAAGTTCTAAAAAGAAACCTAGCAAAAGACACATCTTTGATCGAGAATTAACTTAAACTAAACTGTAGTCATCACATGATAGAGTAAATGTATAAAGCGATGATTGGAAATACTATGCTAGCAAAACTCTACCTGTGCTTCCATGCACAACCTGCATAGTAGCAAAGTGTCGCATGAAACTCTTTAAGTGTATAACTTTGATCAACACATCAGCTAGATTGAATTTACCGTTGATATTGACTAGCTCAATCATTTTCTCAAACATTACTTGTCTAAGAAAGTGATACATGATGTTGATGTGCTTCATTTTGCTATCCGTGACCTCGTTTGCAGCCAAATTTGAAAACACTTTGACTATCACAATGAAGATTGATCACGCAATGTGTCAATCCCATCTCCATGATAAGCATATCCAACCAAATGGTTTTCTTTGTAGCACTACTGCTGTCACATATTCAATTTCCATTGTTGATTGAACTACGCACTTCTGCAAGATAGATCATTAACTTATGCTTCCACCGCCAAATGTAAACACATATCCAGTTGTAGACCTACTTTTGTCTAAATCTTGTCCGTAGTCAGCATCAACATAGCCAAACAAGGATTTGACATTGTATAATAAACCATCAAACAGTATGTCATAATCCACAGTACTATTCAAATATCTTCAAATCCATTTCATTGTTTCCTAGTGAACTTTTCCTAGATTCGACATGTACCTACTCACCTTATTCATCGCAAGAGCAATATAAGGTCTAATTCATATCATCAAATACATGAGACTGCCTACAACTTGTTTATAGGGAACACATGACATTCTTCTTTTCTCCAAAACATATGTAGGATATTGAGATAACGAGAATTTATGTGCTGATAGAGAAGTCCATATTCCTTTCGAATCAATCATGTTGAACTTGTCAAGTATACGGCGAACATACTTGACCTGATTCAATCGTAGCTTCTTCAGTTCTAGATCCATATGAATATTCATGCCTAATATCCTCTTTGACTTTCTTATCACCTTCATCTTAAATGCAGACTTCAGTTGACTCTTGCGTTCATCAACATCGGATTGGTTCTTTTCTAAGATGAGCATGTCATCAATGTAAAATACTAAAATGATGAGATTGAACATCTCATCAATCATCTTTTTTATGTAGACACAAGGATCATACATACTTTGTTAAAAAAATTGTATCTTCCTAACCTCATCAAATTGCGTATTTCAATGCATAGAAGCTTGCTTCAGTCCATATAATGATTTTAAGAATCTACAAATCAATGGCCTGGTTTGTTTCATGTAGATGTTTCTCTAAGTATCCATAAAGAAATGTTGTAGCCACATCCATTTAATCACATCACATCACATCACAAGACTTAATATCGCGGTTAGTGCACATACTAGACAAATTATAGCATACTTTGCTGCAAGCGAGAAAACTTTGTTATAATCCACACCCTTATGATGTGTGAAACCTCTAGCCACCAACTTGAGATTGAAAATTCTAGTCTTCCAGCTTGTACATCCACTTGGAATCAATTTGTGCCTCATCTTTATGAAGCTCAATCAACTTCCAAGTCTTGTTGTCAATTAGTGACTGCATCTTTTGCTCCATAGCAACACTCAAGCTTGTTGACCAAAGCTTGAGCTTCTTTATATGAAGAAATTTCACCTTCTTCCAAGATCAACGTCATATCATTCTCATCTTCAAAATCAAGATCACAATCTTTGAGAATAGATGGGTTGGCCCATACATCAAACATCTCAGGAG